TAGTTCACCTTAAAAATTTTAAAACACAAGTGTGTGGGTTAATTTTAAAAGAAATGTTATCATCATCATATTCGAGTGGAAAACATGCTTACTACCCATGATTATGAGAAAGGAGAATTTGCATCATCACAAAATGGAGGATATAGCTTGGATATTAAAATCAACAAAGCCTCACTCAACACCCAAATGGAAAATATCTCACTTCACTGTATATCGCAGAAGTATATTAGCTTAGATCACTACAAGAATCAACAAGAGTCTAATCTTTTGAGAAAAGTTTTTAAAGTAAAAATCTAAAGTTGAAAAATAGTTTGAATGAGGTTGATTGACTTTTAGTCTTCTCACAAAAATATCAAAGTATGATTAGATTGGTTAAGAGTTTGATTAAGCAAATATTTTTGAAAATGCATGGACCTAACTACAAGTTTATTATGAAAGTGGTTCAAGTTATAAAGAAAGAAGAGTTTTGAAAAGGAGGGAGAATATTTTTGAAAATAAAGAAGATGAGAAGAGATGAAGGGACTATCCTAAAGCATAAGGTAAAAGCTAAGGAAAAGAACGATCTAACGAACAAGAAGCCAACACTTGACATATAAAGTCAATGTAGAATTCCCATCCTTTAGATTGAAACCAAGCAAGCAAAGATATTAAACCTCTTAAGGATACCAAGCTTCAAATGCATGAAGTCTTCTCAAAAATTTGGCAGAGTAACAACTGCATACAGAGGAACTCTCAATCACAGACAAAGCACATTATCATAATAGCCCGCATACAAAGAAAATCAACATAATGTCTTAGGGTAAACCCCCCAAGAACTCTAGACAAAATAACAACATAACCACAAGTTCCCAATGGTAATCAAGGCTTCTAATCCTAAGTCCAAGAGGTTCAAAACTCCTTAATATCGAGGATAGTAACCAAATAGTCTGAGTAACCTTAAGGTTTTTTATTTGTCAAGTTGGTTATTAAGTGTCTTCAAAAAGAAAAGAAAGCTCGAGTGAGAAAAAATAAAATGACATGAAATTTAAATGCTAAAATAAATGGTGCATAAAAGTAAATACATAAAATAAAGGGAGTAAAGTAAAAGCATAAAGTAAACATAAGATAAAGTTAATTGTTAGTGAATTAGAAGTTAGAGATTAGTTGAATTACCATCTTGAAACTTGCATTTGAAAACTAATTAGAAAATTGATAGAATTAAAGCTTCTCAACAACAAGTCTCATTTTCTTTTTTTCAAGTATATCATTAATTTCAAATACTCAAAGTAACCACATATGATCAATGATGTTTAAATGATTCACTTAGACCAAATTTCATGAAAGTTCATTAGAGGATTGATAAGATCAAAGCCTCCTAACAATGAACCTCAAGTTTATTGGAGAAAGGGTTTTAAATTAAACATACTTGGGATTGCAAACATAAGTTTGAGCCACAAATGATCATTTTTCGAATCGGGACAAATGTTGTGTTATGTTAAGCAATCATAAATGGACTTATGTAGAAGTCACACCTATTTTGAGGTCGGTCGATAGCAATCTATATATCACATGTTAGAGAAATGATATATAGGTCATTCTCCAATAACATGTAGCACAAGTAAGAAAGGAATAATATGATGAGGGAGGGGATGTATTAGATGAAATTAAGGTTTCAAATATCATCAACATCATTCATCCATTTTGGTGGATTTGATTTTTCAACCTATCAACACCAAAGATCCAATGAGGTTGAGGAATTTGTCTAAAAATAAAACCCAATACAGTAGGATATTCCATTCCAGAATTTAGCCTAAAACTATGCACACAAGTTCGCAAATACAAACTTTTTGATCAAGGCAAAACCCTAAGTATACTCCTAAGTAAAAATTAGAATAAAAATAGGAAAATAACTTGTAAAATCATGCCAATTAAATCATAACTTTTTAAAGACCTATAAAAGTCATAAACACCATTTGAAATTCTTAGATTAACTTGGAAAGGTGAGAATGGTTGGAAATCATCAAGACTAGTTGACAAAGGGCTCAAACTAGAGAGGTTTAACAAAATTATTTCAAAGAAAATATAAAGTTAGGGATAAAAATAAAAAAGATATATTTTGTAACCTTGAATCATTAAATAATATTAAACACATTTTTCTTGATTTTTAAAAGTGGAGGAAGTTAGAGGATTAATTTTTTCTGTATGCTTAAGCAAGAGAAGACCTCGAAAACAATAATTAACTTCTAAATTTTAAAATTAAGCAAACTGATCTGTAAATTCAATTAAAAAATATAAAAAGTTATATTAATATATAAGGAATGTTAAACATATTTTTATGGAATTTTATCTTGGAAGAATGAATTAAACAAAAATTATTTACACAATATATCAAAAAACAAAGAAAAAGTGACATAACCAAATCAACTGATTTAATTAGCATACCACATATTCTATAAAATAAGTAAAAAAAATATTTTCAAGAACTATACTCAAATTTCAACTCAGAATATTTTTTATGGATTTTTTAGGTTAGTGGAAATAATAAAATTAAGTTCTAAAATTTAAAAGATGGTTAAAATCCTAATTAAACTAATTGAATTATTAAATCATGCAAAAATGATAAAACTATGAAATAAAAATCAAAAAATATGAAAATATATGAAGATAGAGTTTAGAATATTTTTGTGATGATTTTTTGAATTAAGAAAATTATTAAAACAAATTTAGAGAAAACAATGAAAATTCAAATATATTGAAAACCTATTACACATGTTTCAAACATAATGCGCTGTAAAAGAAGCTAAGATCATGTTCAATTGAGGAAAGCCACGTAATCGTCCCTTTCCTGTAGCCTAAAGCCCTAACTCGTTTTCAGTTTGACAAGGAAAGTTCATGAACATATAACTCCCTCATTTCTCCATGAAAACACAAAGTGTAAACCTCAAGCATCAAGATCTAAATGAGTAGAACACGATAGAATCAAGAAATTTATCAAAAGATGCACGTATCATAGAGAAAATGCAACGCGAAAATTGCTGCATGAGCATGACTTTAAGTTAAGCAATTCAACAAACAGTTTTCATATTTCAATTTTCGCACTCAATTCTCAACCAAATCAAACGATCCAAACAACAAAATTCATCACAAAATAACAAGGAACATGATGATACTTATGGATTTTTCAAATAATGCAAGAGAAAAGTAAAAAGTGAGCACGAAATCAGTGACTCGTGAGATTTTCACGTACTTGCAGAATAATGGAAAATAAGATTTCGAACTTCAAATCACACACACACACATATACATCAGACCTATAGTCTGGCCAGCTAAACCAATATGAGCAAGATTTAAAGCACTAATTCAGATTGAAATCGTGAATTGAAGTTCTTATGAACTTACCCGAAGTGTGAAAAATAAATTCATAATGCCTCTGATCTTGCTTAATTGAAACCCGATAATCTTTTTTCCTTAGCTCCAAATGAGTTTGCAATCTTTGTCTTGAAGAATGCTTGAGTGAATTAAAAGAGAGAACTCGAAAATTTTAGAATGAAGAGATTTGGATCTCATTTATGCAATGGAGAGAATTCATAAAGAGTTAGGCTGTTTATAAAGAGTGAGGAGGAGTGAGGGTAAGAGTGTATTTTGAGGCTTGAGACTGTTAGAGGGTATTTTAGACAATTCAGCAAATGGAGAGTGTGTTTCTTGGCTGTATTTTGAGTGTCATGCTAAGCAAATTTGTTGCATTTTGATGAACAAATGAGGACATAATTGAGTGAGATAAGCATGCATGGTGAGCTGGCAACCTGGTGCTATTTGAAACAAACATCATGCAATTCCATGCAAACAGATCTCCCCCCTTTAAACTTGATAAATTCATGATCATTTGAGATGAGGTTTAGCTTGTTAGAAAGAGGGAGATTGAGTGAAAATTTTTCATGTTAACCCTAAGTTGAAATGAGGCCTTGAAGTCACTTGAAACTTGCCACGAAGTTAACCTCAAAAGGCTGGCAAATGCACTGATGTAGTAACCATGCAAATACCAAAATCTTGCCTATTTTGTGATCATGACTTCAACTTACAATATCTTGAGCTATGATCATTAAAATGAAAAACTATGTGAAGCAAAATTGAAGGTAACAATGTATCCTCCAACTTTGATGATGAACACAAATCCAAATTATGCTTTAATCATTGAGAAAATTCATCATGAACCTATGACCTGGAGATGTTTGATAAAATGTCAGGCCAGACATGCATGCAAACTAACAATCATGCGCGTGCAAGGCATACATTTGCCAGCTTCTTTCTTTTAAGATCAAAGCATTCATAATTTGTGATTAATATCAAAAGTGGAATTGGATTCAAGAAGAAACAAGGGAGAAATTCCATGTTCCATGTTTTAAACTTCAAATGTACATCAAGATTTACAGGTGAATATTCAATTTCTATATCCAAAGTTAAAATTACAAGCTTGAATCACAGTGTTACAAAAGTTTCCTAATGGATACAAGGTGTTTTAAAACACAAAAAAGCTCTCTTTATCTTCAAGTTTCTCTTGTGTACTTCAAGTTTCTTCCATAATCCTTGCCTTTGTCTCATTTTCCTACAGTTCCAATCAGCATCACCATATGTTCTTCCCATCATCATTTTGTGGCTCAATACATGAAACAAAGAAAAATGGAACATGGTTAACAAACAATCAACACATAAACTTGAAGCTTTCAAAGAGTATTTTCACAAATTTCATCATTAGGGGTTATTTGAAGGAATCAGACATATGGATCAAGTTCAATCATGAATTCAAGTCCAATGCTCAAGCCTCATAAACATTGTTTCAAGCAAAAATCAGAAGTGCATCTTATCATAGGCCCAATTATCCTACTGCAAACCTCAAACAAATGCACAAAAAAATATTTGCTTGGTTCAAAGTCAAACAAAATCAGAACAGACAAAAAACCAATTCACAGTAACAGGGCAGTACAAATCTTAATTTCAGATAACAACATAATTACCACAGTAAATCACAATTCACCAAGACCACAAAAATAACATATCAGAATCATGTTAAGACCAATACGAATTGGAGGAGGTTTGATAACTAGGCCTGTTAACAAATTAGAGGACCCAAACAGAAAACCCTAAATTCACAATATAAAAGCATTCAAGGCACAAATTTTGAGGGATAATATTTTTCACACAACCGCAACAACAACAAACCCTAAATTAGAGAATCATCATCTTCCTACACAAACTCTTCAGAAATAAGAGAGATACAGTCATAAGGCTGAGATAGAAACAGAGACTAATTGTTGTCATTACAAAGCCAAAGAGAAATAGAACTCACGTAGCCACCATTGGAGAAGAGTTGTGTCGCTGCTATCGGCGCCATTCTCCTCCATCAACACTCGGGCTCGCTTTAGAAGGGTCGATTTTGGCGTTTCAGAACCCAAATCCTTCATCATCGCTTCGATTAAATCGGTTTTCCGCAATCTGAACACTTAGGATTTTCGAAACCCATTTTAAGATCTAGGCGGTATCTTTCATTTTCTGCAAAATCAAGTCACAGATTTATAATCAGAAGAGGAAGACAAAGAGAACAATGTAAAATAAGTGAGAAACGGAAAAGCCGCGGCACCGCCACCGTGATCTTCATCATCTCCGCCATCCAGCTTCATAGCGACCACCACCCCAAATCTTTTTTATTTTTTATTTTTATGTTTTGTGTGTTTGCGATTGAATAACATAGAGAGAGGAGGAGCGTTATTTTTTAGAGAGAGAGAGAGAGAGAGAGAAGTTTATTCTGCTTAATTGGCTTAAATGTTTGGTTTAGTTTTTGTTTTTTTTTTAATAATTTTGTTTTAATAGTTAATCAGGTGATGAAAATTGTCATCACCCTTGTGGCTAATCTTGTGATTTTGTGCAGTGTTCTCACGATGTCAACCTTACACACTCGCTCTACAACCATATGATCATCATCAGCCAATACCAACACTCCAGACCTGCACACCCGTGATACACCCTTCTGGAGCAGCCACACAGGATTAGGTGGACCCTCATATTCGGTTTGGGCTTCCTCCTACTTTTAGCACCCCCAGTTTCTGCTTAATCCAGGCCCATTTACTCTTTTCTCTATATTTTTGTTTTATTTTGATTAGTTATTATTTTTATCAAATAAAAATACAAAAAATATATATTGTCTTAAATAATATTTTTTGATATTATTAGTTAATTTATTAATTAATTTTATTAAATAAGATTATTTAGTTTAATTAATTATTTAATTAATTTCAATTGGGTTGTATTGTTTGTTTATTTAGACTTTTAATCAAATTTTTTATTCGATTCATCCCCATTCACAAACTTGTACCCCCATTCCCATATGGTTGTAATAACTTAGGATTTATTTCTTTGTGTGTTTTAATTATTGCTTAATAATGCATATATCATTCAATTAGAACACATGGCCTCCTCTTAAGTCCCTCATCAATGAACATGTATACACTTACAAATGCACACACGCACACATTCATAGCTTAGTCCTAGGCTTTCCTACAGTGACAACTATTCGATCGATTATTCCAATTGGTTGTTTAGAATACTAGCATAACGTTAGTCCCACTTTCTAGGAGCATACATATAGACACCTCGTAAGGGCTTGTCTGATTTTTATCTTGTGTATTGAGTTAGCTTGTATCTCGTTATCTTAATAATTGTAATCTTCTCTCTTCTTGGTCCATATACCAAGCTTTCTTAAAGGGTATCATAGCTGAGTATGGGCATGGCCATTCTCACGATATTAGTCGAAGCACTCGCTTGCTTTAATTAATCATAACCTGAATTAATCACTTTGGTCCATATACCAAGTGTTCTATGTAAGAGGGTCTCATGGTTAAGAGTAGGATCACCTATTCTTACAAGATTAATCAAGTATATGAAGAAGTGAAAAACACAAGAAGGGGGGGTTGAATTGTAAAACTGAAAATCAATGCAATGAACAAGATATTTTTATCCTGGTTCGTTTGATCTCAAACTACTCCAGTCCACCCGTCAAGGTGATTTCGCCTCTCTCCAACGAGGTCTTAATCCACTATATTCATCCGAATATTACAAGCTGCTTTAACAACTGCTAAAGCCTTCTTGATGCAAACCACAACCCAGTTTGTCAAGGAAACACTTTCTTACAAAGAAGATAAATCTAGGTGTGAATGTTTTCTACAATACTGTATCACAACTGTGATATATACACAACTTAAGCTTATGAAACTAGATTGCTAAACAATGATTGAGTAAGAAGATATGTAGAGTTTAGAAAACTGAGAGAAGGAAGATTATGATTAGCTTTTAGGCGTGTAAAATGTTGGAGAGCATTAGCCAATTCAATCTTCATAGTCTTGTTTATATAGCACTGAGATTGTTGAACGTTGGAGCTATATTCTTGATTCAATGCTAATAACAAACTTTCCTTATTGAGCAGATCTTGTCTGGAATGAGGCCGTTGGTAATAATTTTCTTTCAATGCACAGTACCGTTGCTTACTTAATGCATGTTCTGGCTTGGCTCATTCTGACTCTGCTTAACTGCTGATGAACTGTTGTTTTTCTTTATCAGAGTGTTGAGCGCAGTTCTGTTCATCAAGCTTCAGCATACACATGAGTTAATCTTCTGATTCTGGTATTCTGATATAGCAACTTCTGATGCTGATGTCAAGAACCAATATTCTGATGCTGATTAAGTGTGCTCTTGTTGATACCTATCAGAGTTTCTGCAAAGCAGAACGTAATATTTTTAGGCAGCAAATAGTTCATACATGAGTCATATAAATAATATATCTTTTCATTTTGTTATCATCAAAACTTAAACATAGGGTAGTAGATTCAAACTTTGTTCTAACAATCTCCCCCTTTTTGATGATGACAAAAACTAGATATTTTTAATTGAAAATAACGTGAAAAAGTATCAAAAGTAACTAAATGATAAGATGTATCAGAATAAGAAGTTATCAAAGATAAGGGATCAGAGTTGAGAGATACTCCCCCTGAGTTTATTACTTCCCTTTTTGATTCCAAGAGTTCTTCAGGATCAGATCTTTTTGCCTTTCTTTGAACATCAGAGTATCAGAGCCTTTGACTATCAGAAGCTTTAGATCAGCATATCAGAGCAGAGCTTCAGATCAGCGTATCAGAGCTTTTCTTGTCAGAGCTTTGCTTTGGGTCAGAGTATCAGAGCGGGTCAGAGTATCAGAGCTTTAGTCTTCAGAGTGTCATGGAGCTTTCTTGTACCTGTAGACTTAAGCAACACAGAAAACATATTCAAGTATATCAGAGTTAGAATGTTTGAGAATTTTTGTCTTAGTAATCTGTTATTATTTAAAATATCATTCTTGTTCTCCCCCTTTTTGTCAGCAATCAAAAAGTGTAAGTTATGTGCTAAAATATTTAAGGCAGAAAAACTTGTCATATTAAAAGGTTCAGAATCAAACAAAACAGTACAACAGATAATCAAAGAAAACATGAAAAAGACATGAATGAAAAAGAACTAAGGTTGGCGAGGAAAGCGTGTGAACAGGTTCTCCAGCATGGCTTTGATCTGATCAGCAGTCTCATTCTGCTTGTGTACCATGCTGACAACTGTGTCTATCTTGCTATCCTGCAAATCCATCCTTTCTTTCATCTTCTGGTCATTTTCATCCATCCTTTGTTGCAGACGCATGTCATTCAGCTTCAGCTCTTCCAGAGTCTGCCTGTCCAAGGTAGCTTGAGAAACATCAGAAGCATGGAGCTTCTGAGAGCTTTCAGCAACATCTTCTGCTTGACTTGCTTCAGCTTGAATGGTCTTGTTTTCTTCTGGTTGCACCTTTGAAGCTAGCTGTTTCTCAGACCATGGCTCACTATCCAGAGGGAGCACGTCTTCCTGTGGCAGCTGGCTTTCAACTTCCTTCAGCAGCTTGCTAAAGTTCTGTTGTGCCTGCTCATAGTTGATATCCTGCAACTTGAGGGCTTCAGCACGTACCTAAATTCTAAATTATGACCAGAGCTGGTCAGAGGCAGCTGGGTCAATCATTCCAGGACAGACTTGCTTCAGAGAAGCAATCCACTGCTGCAAACCTGTTTCAAAATTCATAATACCAGAGCCAACATCTGGTTGTTTTGGTTTTGGAATGGCTATTTTATTTTTCAGATCAGCAAGACGGTCAAGGATTGTTAAGTCTATGAAGGTCCTGCTGGGGTTTTCGGTGGTTTGCTTGGGAGATGTTTGTTTTGGAGATGGAGTGGGAGAATCAGAGATAATGATTGGACTGTTTGGTGTTTTGGGAGTATTTGGTGGTGTAGATTCTGATGAGGATGGCAGCTGGGCCATTGTGACTGTTGTTCCACATGGCAGCTGGATTGCCAGAGGTGATGGTTGAGGTGAATGAGGTTCAGAAGGTGGAGGAGAAGGAGTTTCAGAGTGATGAAACTCAGGTTGAGGTGATGGTGGATGAATTTCTGGTTGAGGAGAGGGAGACGGAATTGCTGGTTGAGGAGAAGTTGTTGGAATTTCTGGTTGTTCAGGGATAAGAGGTTCTTCTGGAATGGATGAGAGAGGTTGTTGTTGTTCTGGTTCTTCAGCAGCTTGCTATTGTTCTGGTTGTGGAGAAGGGACAATTTGTGGTTTAGAGTTTGGATTAATGGAGGAGTGATCAGAAGTGTGTTGATCAATGTCAGACAGCACTTTGTCAATTGCTGATGTTGTTGAGATTGTTGGTTTTGGATGTTTGGTTCGGGGTCTTCTGAGTTGTAATGCCTCAGAAGGGTCATCTTCTGGTTCAGTTTCATCTATTGTTGGGATGGGGATTGAGATTCTATGAGAGGTTGGAGGTGGAATTGATGCTGGAATAGTAGAAGAATTTAAAACAGAAGCAGCAGATAAATTACCTCTTTTCTTGGGTGTCTGCTGGGATGATCCTTCTGAAGGTGCCTTCCTTTTCTTCGTCCTCTTCAGTGTAACTTCTGGTTGAGGTTGGTGCAGATCTTTGATCTTCAGATTGGGATCTGTACCATCAGCTTTGCACGCGTCCAGATATCTGAGAACTACCACTGGCTTGGATTCTACCTCAGAGAATAAAGGAAATTCACTCAGTGGGACTCTTCTGCTGGTGATATCAGCAATAGGAGTAGCGTTGGGTTCCTTTTTGATATTCTCTATCAACTTCATTTTCTTCAAGTTCTTCGCGTTCAGAGGCTTCCCAACCGTTGGTTCAATGGTGCTTAACTCTTGAGCTTCTATTAGATTCTCTATCAGCCTATTCTCCATCAGAATATCTGATATCAACCTTCCAAAGGGTATCCAATCCCTCTTTGTTCTTTCTTCTTCCCTGGTTTCCTTCACGCTTGTTCTGAGGTGGTTAAACAGAAGATGAGCCAAGTTGATTTTTACCGTCTGATTGATAAAGTAGATCAGAAACTGCTGATCCACATTTATG